ATTGGGTCGCACTGGAACAGGATTGCGGTGGGTTGGGCTCCTCTGACGAGAGGGTCCAGGGTCTGTTACGGTTGCTCTGGTTCTGGGAGGCTAGCGGGTGTTCCCCAGCTACGGTGTCAGGGAAGCTCTCAGGCCTTAGTTTCTGGTTCAATTTAACCCAAGTACCCGATGTGACGAAACACTGCATGGTGAGGCTTGCGATGCGCGGTTGGCGGAAAGGCCCGATGGTGCGGGATACTCGGAGGCCGGTTTCGGGCGCGCTCCTGTTAGGGATCGCCTCGGTTCTCCCCCAGGTCTGTTTTTCAACTCCGGAGGCTAGATTGTTTTTGGTGGCGTTTACTTTCGCCTTTTTTGGGGCTCTTCGGGTCGGAGAACTGGTGAGCCCTAGCAGGGGGACCCCTGGGGGGCTTTTATTTCAGGACGTGTTTGTCACGGGTACTACGGTGCAATTTTTGTTGCGCCGGTCCAAGACCGACGTTTTTGGCAGGGGTAAGTGGGTTACCCTTCGTGCCATTCCGGATTCGGCAGTTTGCCCCGTCTCGGCATACCTATCTTACAGTTCCGGGCGACCAGGTTTCTCCGGCCCGCTGTTAATTCATGAAAATGGTGCCTACTTATCTCGATTTCAATTTCTCAGGGTATTTCGCCTGGCCCTTGATCGGCTGGGAATCCCGAGCAAGGAGTTTGGGGGTCATTCCTTCCGCATTGGGGCCGCAACCGAAGCCTCTCGGTTGGGTTTCTCTGATCAGGCTATTCAGAGGATTGGCAGATGGGAATCTGGGAGGTTTCGGTCCTACGTACGGCCCACGCGGCTAATCGGTTCCCCTCTTGTGTTTTCTCCACAGGGCCCGGCCGTAGGATCTGGCTGATTGGGCATTCGTACATCTATTGGGCCCATCTGCGGGCTGGGGTACGCCCGGGTGGGACACGCCTTGGAATTCCTCGGGAGCTGGCGGAGGTCCGATGGTTTGGTTTCCGGGGCATGAGATGGGGCCAGCTCTTGCCGGAGGTTGTACAGCTGGCCACTTTCCTAGGGGCGCCTGATGTATTGGTGGTTCACTTGGGTGGCAATGATCTGGGGGTGCTGCCTGCTTGGGGTTTGGGTGAAATGATTAGAAGGGATTTAGCGCGCTTGCGAGTTTTGTTCCCGCAGCTTTGTTTAGTTTGGTCTGGGATAGTGTCCAGGAACTATTGGGGGCGCGCGTGCGATCAGGGGGCTATTGAACGATGCAGGGTAAAAATTAATAAAAGAGTGTCAAAATTTGTGCTCGGCGTTGGTGGCATTTCGGTGCGCCACCGAATATTTGAACGTGACGCGGCGATATATTTTCGCCCGGACGGGGTCCACCTGACCGATGTGGGGTTGGATTTCTTCAACCTAGCTCTGCAGGATGCGCTGGAACAGGCCATGGCATTGGTGGGGGGTCGCGCCTGCTGATTTAGGCTTAAATGCAGCTGGCGCTAGTGGCGGGTATGGTCCTTGCCGAACCAGTGGAAAAGGAGTGCATTGGACGAAGGAATGCTGGGTCTGGTCCCTCCCTTAACCTCGGGCAATGGTTTGGTATTTGGGCGTGCCCTCCGTGCCAGGAAAAGCGGCCAGGGGTTGGCATGGGGAATTGGAGGGCCAAGGTGAAGGCCAATTAGCTTGGACGAGGGGGGAGGGCAGGTGCCCTGGAAAGAGGTACTCAAAAAGGTTATTATGGTTCGGTTGGCAAGGACGGGTTTTGAGCTAAAAATATACGCTCATATTAAACATAATTGAATTGGTTTTACTTATTATATATATAAATAAAGCTGTGGCCTGTTTATACCACATTTATGTCTCTGTTTTAATTGGGGATGGGGAAAGGTGGGGGCGGGGTGGGTGGAGCAGTTTGGTGATCATAAGGGGCACCACACGTTAACCACTACCTGCACACAAGGCCCAGAGGAGGCGGGCTGAAAGCTAGCCGGATAGGAGGCATGTGTGGGTGTGGTGGGTGTAGGTGTCATAAGTGGGTGTGTCAATTAGAGTAAGGGATGGGTGTGGTCCTTTATATACCAGTCATTTTGTCTCCCTTACCTCAGCCATCTTAGATTTAACGGCGTGGTAACATCTCCCTCCCTCCCTCCCTCCCTTTGTTGATACTTTGGTATCCGTTTCCGTCTTACTAATTTATTTCTTTTGTCACAGCTGGCGGGTATGGTCCTTGCCGAACCAGTGGAAAAGGAGTGCATTGGACGAAGGAATGCTGGGTCTGGTCCCTCCCTTAACCTCGGGCAATGGTTTGGTATTTGGGCGTGCCCTCCGTGCCAGGAAAAGCGGCCAGGGGTTGGCATGGGGAATTGGAGGGCCAAGGTGAAGGCCAATTAGCTTGGACGAGGGGGGAGGGCAGGTGCCCTGGAAAGAGGTACTCAAAAGGTTATTATGGTTCGGTTGGCAAGGACGGGTTTTGAGCTAAAAATATACGCTCATATTAAACATAATTGAATTGGTTTTACTTATTATATATATAAATAAAGCTGTGGCCTGTTTATACCACATTTATGTCTCTGTTTTAATTGGGGATGGGGTAAGGTGGGGGCGGGGTGGGTGGAGCAGTTTTGGTGATCATAAGGGGCACCACACGTTAACCACTACCTGCACACATGTGTAGTTTATGTGTGAATGGGTCAGGGTGTGCCAGTGTGCAGTGTATTTGTGCATGGGTCAGTGTTAGTGTCAGTGTGCTGTGTGTATATGGTTCAATGTTAGTGTCAGTGTGCTGTGTGTTTTCATATGGGTCAATGTTACTGAGTGTCCATGTGCAGTGTGTTTGTATGGGTCAGTGTTAGTGATTATTATTGTGCAGTGTGTTTCTGTATGGATCATTGTGTTTGTGTATTGGTCCACTTTAGTTCCTGGGACAAGTAGATTTAAAAAAAATAAAACAAATCCATACCCCTGTATGTATCTATAAAGCAGTTTGTGTGTGTGAGTGTGTGTGTGAGTGAGACAGTGTGTTTATGTATTAGGTGGTGTGTGAGTGTATATATTAGGCAGTGTGCAAGTATGAGGCAGTTTGTGAGTTGTTTGTAGTTTGTGTGTGTATATTACATGTATGTAATAATGATATATTTCAATCTATGTATTAGGCACTTTGCCTCACATACACACACAAACTGCTTTATAGATACATACTCGCAATGTGTGTAAGTATGAGGCAGTTTGTGTGTGTGTGCAGTTTATGTAATAACCATATATTTCAATGTGTGTATTAGGCAGTTTGTATGTATCTATAAAGCAGTGTGTGAGTATGAGACAGTTTGTGTGTGAGTATGAGACAGTTTGTGTGTGAGTATGAGGCAGTTTGTTTGTGTGTGTATGCATTAGGCAGAGTGTGAGTGTATATTAGGAAGTGTGTGTGAGTCAGTTTCTGTGTGTGTGCAGATTAGGCAGTTTGTGTGCATGTATGTATAAGGCACTTTGTGTGTGTGTATGTATTTGGCAATTTACATTTTTGTGTATGTTTGTATGTATTAGGCAGTGTGTATATTTATACACACTGCAACTGTTTATACACACTGTTTATATGTGTATGTTTGTGGGTTTGTGTATGTATAAGGTGGTTTGCTAAAAGACAGCAATCCTCTACACCAAGCATGTCAAACTAACGGCCCGTGGGCCGCATGCGGCCCACAAGGACCATCTTTGCGGCCCGGCGAGCTGCAAGTACATGCCTAATGTTCCAAGCAGAGTAGGCACCTGCTTTTCCCACATTGCAGGTGCCTACTCTGCTAACACTTACCCGGTCGGGGAGGAAGGAACGGTGGAAGCAGCGAGGGAGCTCTGTAATTACATCATATTCCGGCACCTGGCATCACTAAACTGAGCGAGGGAGCAGTGAAGAGCAGATAGAAGAACCCTAGGGAGATGCCCCACATGGGCTCCAAAAGGTAAGGAGCAATAATGAAAAGAATGTGTAAGTGTGTGAGTGTATGTGAGTATGTGTGGGTGTCTGTCAGTGTGTGTGTGTCTGTCTGTCATTCTATCAGTGAATATTTGTGTGTGTATCTGTCTGTGTGTGTGTGTCTGTCACTGTGTATGTGTGTGTGTCTGTCTGTGTGTTTGTCTGTCAATGAGTGTGTGTGTGTGTGTGTGTGTCTGTCAGCAAGTATGTGTGTGTCAATAAGTGTGTATGTGTCTGTCAGTGTGTCTGTATGTGTGTGTCTGCCAGTGAGTATGTGTGTATGTCTGTGTGTGTGTGTCTGTCTGTGTGTATGTGTGTGTGTCTGTCTGTGTGTGTGTCTGTCTGTGTGTTTGTCTGTCAATGAGTGTGTGTGTGTGTGTGTGTGTCTGTCAGCAAGTATGTGTGTGTCAATAAGTGTGTATGTGTCTGTCAGTGTGTCTGTATGTGTGTGTCTGCCAGTGAGTATGTGTGTATGTCTGTGTGTGTGTGTCTCTGTCTGTGAGTATGTGTCTGTCTGTCTGTGTGTCTGTCTGTGAGTATGTGTGTGTGTCTGTCTGTCTGTGAGTATGTGTGTGTCTGTGTCTGTCAGCAAGTATGTGGGTATCTGTCAGTGAGTATGTGTGTGTGTGTATCTGTCAGTGAGTATGTGTGTGTATGTGTGTGTGTGTGTCAGTGAGTATGTGTGTGTGTCTGTCTGTGTGTGAGTATGTGTGTGTGTCTGTCAGTGAGTATGTGTGTGTCAGTGTGTCTGTATGTGTGTTTCTGTCTGTCAGTGAATATGTGTGTGTCAGCAGGAGGATCAGATTTGGCACAGGGTGGTGGGGGGGGGGCTGGGATTTAGTAGAGGAGG